ATTTTTGAGTTTGGGTTAAGGTAGGAGGGCGTGTGTGGAATATTCCATACATTCAGTCGGAGACAGAATTGTCGATTGTGAGTGTCAGGAGCAGAAAGTACCTTCAAGTCATTACTCTACTGAACCAATTACTATCCCTGATGAAACCGCGGTGACTGTTGAAGAAGCGTGCTTGAGTGCTTGAGTCGCTTTGTCTGTAGGCCTAGACATCGACACAGAAAGTGGTCAATTGACTCTTCCTCATCATGGCAGCCCCTGCAGAGAGTAGTTGTTGGTATTCGCCACCATTGCAGTATTGGTGCTATAGCACAGTAATGACACCGGTAAGGGCTCTTATTGCAGATATATTGAGTTTCAGTATGTCTCTTGTGTTTTTCCTACTAAGCCGCGGCCATAATGATCTTGTGGTCTCACAGTCTTCCCGTTTGTTCCAAAAGTCATTCGTAGCAGCCACGGTGCATTCATCAATTGTCCTAACGTGATCACTAAACGGTGGTAGTACGGAGCTATCCGCTTCTTCTATTGGCATCTCTGAGCCGTATCTGGCCATCCATAAGCCGACTCATTCCCTTCAATATTGCTATGTTGGTGGACCCGGCATAGAGTGACGTTGATACGGCTCGGTGACGCCAGCGTTGTGTGACATTTCCATACAATTGCCGATTTCACTATTTTAGATTATCTTGCTTTCATTGCTGCCTGACTGTCGGCAAAAATAGTGGCTTTGTCTTCTGGAACTCGACTACTAAGTAAAAGACTAGCCGCCCTCTCTATAGCGCAGATCTCTGTTTGGAAGACACTGCACTCGATCGGTAGACCAAAGTACCGAGTAGACACCGGCTCCGGTTCCTTTTTCCATCTTTGAACCGTCAGTGTAGATGGATATACCCTCTCTGCTACTGGCATACATCTCTGGTCGGGAACCCAATGAATATGTTCTTGTTAAAGTCCCAAAAAGGCGTAATGTTAGCAGTGCTGGCTTCTATGTCCGCTTTAATCCCATTGAGCCGGCCCCATTTTATTTCGTTTCCTATTATTTTTGAGTTTAAGAGAGGGTGTTTTAGTGCTGTATCTAAACATTCTATGAAGGTAAGGACTGCAGGCGGGAAGCCCAGTAGAAACTACATTAGAGGGTCGCCAAATATTTTGACAGTTAAAATTTTAAATTAAGTTATGAATATTCATATGTACAGTGGCAAAAATATAAATAGGCACGCGATAGTTTAGGAAGTTTTGGCTATTTTTCGCATCTAACAAAAATCTTTAAGTCCGAATTTAAAACATTGTACAAAAAGTAGGAACGTTTGACAAATTTTCATGAACATTTCGAGCTCTTTAGTAAGAATTTTTAGAAAGATTTTCAATATATAGTTTATAGCCCGTTCAATTCTAATAAAGTGCAGGTTTAAAGTAGCTAGGGCTTTACGTTGAAAAATTGTGGAACTTTGTATGGAAAACAATTCTCAATATTTCTTTTTTGGCAACCGGCACTTTTTCTACAGAAGTTTTTAATAACTGTTTTTTGTATTGATTGGAACATTGGAACATTATTCAAAAACATCTTCATACTAAATCATGTTGAACATGTTAGGCATGCTCATTAGGGTGGCCCAAAAACGCATGTGAAAAAGCAAAGACGAAATGTTTATGCTCTAACCCCCTAGGATTGTTTTATACCGAAAAAATATACCCCTATTTTTTATTTCGAAGTCGAAATGAGGGGTTATAACATTCAAATTCCTACTTTACTTTTTTTTTTGGCCACCCTAATGTGGCGAAAATAGAAATGGGGAAGCGATACTTTTACAATTCTAGGTACGCAGTTTTGTTGTTTAGATTTTTGAAAAGAGTTGCCAAATAAGAAAAAATATTTCGCTAGTTTAATATTTAAGTAAATTTGGTTTATAAAATATAACAACGTGTGCCTAAATTTCACGCAGACAAAATTAGGTAGCGTGACGAAGTAAAAAAATTGTTTAGGCATGCCAAATATTGTAGTAGCGAGGAGTGTTGCTAAATATTTTTACAAAAGCATATCAACCTTTAATGTAAACCTAAGTAAGTGGGGAAGTTAAAGAGACTGTATTGCGAATAATTCTTCACTAAATCCCATTTTAACGTATTTATAAAAATATTTTAATTGCAAACGTTTTAATTTACACGCGTGAAAATGAAATGAACAAATTTTGACTCTCACTTATGTACGTCAACGGCAATTGAATAAATAAAAGTACCGGTAAACACTGACAGCTGAATTTGGTGCTAAATTAAAAAGTTTATGTGCGAGGCTTAGAAAAATTTTAAAAATATTTTTTGTTTATCAACATTGTTTGCATGGCTAAGTATTTGATTAACTATTTAGTGGCAAGTTTCAAATAAATCATTCAATTTATAGTTGATGCAGCTTTTATTTGAAAATTATTTAGTAAAAAATGTTTATAGCTGTAGTACTTTGTACACAATATTTGCACCTTTGCAACAGAATAAACTGCACGATAACAACACATAAACCTACATACATGCATAGATACATATACTATAGAGTACATGCAGACTAAGCAATCGAAGTCAAGCCATGTCCAATTTTATTGCAAATGCTAAATCATTCTCACTTCTATTTCAGCATACAATTCATTTTGCGCATGAACTAAGTTAATGGCATGCGTTCAAAGTTACGCAGGGTTTATAAGGGTCACGTAGCCGCAGAAGTTTACATTTTTGAGTGCTACTTTGTTGAGTAAGTTAGCGAAAAATCGCTTAATATACAAAGCCATAAAATTGGCGAACTTTAGCGTCATTAAATATGTAATAAGCACAATAAATTTAGGAACCTACATATGCATGTACCCTATATACATTAGGGCGGGTCAATTTGTATGTAGAAGGATTCTAGGTGTAATTCTAAGCAAATTTTCCGAAGAAACCGTGGGTCTAAAATAAAGTTGGAGTTTGCCGAATTGCGAAAATAGTTTTCTTAGCATTTAGCTGTACCATCGTAAAGAAGTGCTTAAATTTTGAATAAAGACATGCCAAAAGGGATTTTTTTGGTACGATAAATACATTTCAAAAATGGTCTATTTTCTAAGTATACAAAATTTTTTACCACAATTGCTTTCAAGATGCCGGCAATTTCACAATACTCTGCGTCCTGAACATCAAGTTTGACATTCTCTGCGACCTAATTTACATATTCACGTTATTGCAGGCTCCGGTTAATGATGTGTAAAAGTTTTATCGCGGTAAACTAAGCGATAACGATGATAATGAACTCCTCGAAAATCCGTGAGCAATGGATGCTACTTTTAAATTTCCGCCTTCGACCAAACGTAATTTGAATTTTCCATTGCCATGTGTTAAAATGTGTGAAAGGTAATTTTCTGCATTTCAAATTTTAATGTCATGTTAATATTTAAATTAAAATTAGTGGCATTCATCTAAATCGATAACTTTATCAAGCAGATATTCTTACAAATTGAAGAGCTCTGTTACATGAACGCCCCATACTCTCTTTTCGTTTACACTTGCGACAGAGTTGCCTTGGCTTCAGTTTATCAAGGTTATTCAGAGAAATCGTTGGAGAAATTTATCAGAAATGTGTAAACGAGTTCCCTTACAAATTTTGACAGTTGTTTTAAGTTTACACAATTATAAGTTTATAGGGTTCATAATGTTTCTTTGCAGGCATTTTTACAATTTACGGAGCATAATCCAACAATATTCCTAGACCGATTCGTGCAGATAGGCGCAATATTCCCTGTGACACTTGCTTCCTTCTTAAGCATAAAAATGATAATACAATTTTGCTATTTCGGAGATCACCACATCTCCTCATTAGACTTCCTCAATCGCCGCCACTGGGATATGAACCAGCGACCTCGGATTACAAAGGCAAGTGGTCTACCCACTGAGCTAAGTTCCCCACGTAATCTGTTGTTGTTTTTTGGCTTGGTGATCTCCGAAATAGCAGCTATGTATGACTTCTACCTTTGTGTAAATTACTATTGTTTTCCACACAATTTTTCATTATAAATGGCCTCAAGCTCAATTAAATTATTGAATATAGTTGTTAAAAGGCGTAGCAGTAGAGAAATGTTATTTCTAATCTTTTCGTGTATAACACTCGAATTTATTAAAAAAAAGTGAAAATATAGGCATATTTGGTGGAACCGATTATATGAAAAAAATAAAAATAAAAAAATAAAAATAAAATTTGAATTCCCCCCCTCCCCTACTGACACGCTTGAACTCAATAGGAGCATACGTACATACGTATATAACTACCTTCTCATCTGCAGAACTGTCAACAAACAAAATGGCAAGCCATCACAAACAGGTTGTTAGCTGATAAGAGAGATAAGTATAATCTTTGAAGAGTTCTTCCAGTGTCATTACCTATGTATTTCCACTTGCTCACTGTGTTTTCTTCACACACACAAACACATAAGTATTATGTACACACACACATGCATTCGTCACACACACACACACACATAGACGCATACCCCGATGCCTTTGTTTGTCGAAGGTATTTACGTTTTATTTTTATTGTAGTTTTAGTTTCAGTTTCAGTTTCAGTTCTCAAAAACGCTAAGCGCAGCTTCAATTTAACTAGCAAACAAAAACAAACATAAACTCAGAAAATTAAAACAGGCACCAAAATATCGCTATCCCGAGAAATCACTATCCGCGCGAGCTCAGTGACCCACCGAGCTGAGGCTGGTTGAAAAGCCGACCGCGGAAACGAATGCGAATTTTCGATGAGCTGTGGCTGTGGGTCAGGGTGTCCAGATTGTTAAAAAATAGCCATTTCTGAACAAAAAATGCCAAAAATGGCCCAATTTTTTTTTATAAAATTCATGAAATCGGCTTAGCAAATCTTTTATTTTAAAAATGAGATCCTGCTATAATAAAAAACCATATATCCAAATTTCCAAAAAAAAATCGGCAAATTGGCGTTAAATCGCCCAATCTGGACACTCTGCCTACGGTGCAATATGTACAAATATACGAATATCAATCTACGCTATAGACTTTTAACCGGTGAATCCGATACCGCCAACACTTTCAAACGCTGCGATTGCTGAGACACGACTGACTGATGCCAGCTACCGAGCGAGCACCTGTTGGCCAACACAGCTCGCGCACCACCACCGCTGTCGCCGCCGCCGCCGGCACCGGCATAACGCATCGAGTGGCACCTGTATGCAGTGTTGCCGTTTTGATTACTTTTAACCAATTTTGGTTATTTTTTTCTTGCCTGTGAAGTTGTTAAGATCTTTCCCGTTTTGGTTATTTTTTAATATATACTGAAGTTTTTAATTGACATAGGCCAGCTACACCTGTCGAGGTTGAGGAGATTAGCCAAGGCACATAAATACAGGTAGAAGCCAAAATGACGTTGCTCTCATGAGAACCAAACCTTTAAACTTCAACTTGATTTTATTTTATTTCCTATATTTCGTTACGCTTAAAATGTCATGTCGTTTGTTTTTTTTGAATGTTCGTTAAACACAAATTTTAATTAACATTTGCATTTTTGTAGTGTTGTGCGGTTTATACTTAGTGTATGTGTTAAAAATGCAGGACCTGAAGCGTTGTTTTTTATGTGGTGTTAAATATAATGCAGAAATCTCTAATTTTTTAACGTGCCTCAATGCCCTCGGCGTAAGGAGCGTTGGGAAATCAGCTGTGGGGTAGAGCTGCAGCGAAATGCCTTGCTGTGCGTTAAGCATTTTAAAGCAGCAGATTTCATAAATGCACCAGGAGGTACAGGAAAGACACGTTTGATGCCAAGTGCTCTTCCTATGACCCTTATGTCGCAATCATTATTTGTGTTCCGTTGTTTTATTGATTGCCCAACGTTATGTCTAGTACATATATCGCTTTATACAAACATTTGTATATTATACAAAATTAAAACAGGTACTATAAATATAAACTTTCAATGTATGAAAAAATAGAAAAGAACATACAAATTAACAAATTTTAACTAAATAAAATAAATAAATAAATACAAAACTTGAAATTTACTTAAAAACGTCAACCAGCGAAATGTAATTTTTTTATTTTTCCTTACACACGCTCATTTTTATTTTTACTCTCCCGAAAACTTTGACTTTTGTAGGTTTGATGTCAATTTGGCTTCTACCTGTTTTTATTGTACCATGAGATTAGCAACAGCAGTGGCAGCCCAGCAGTGAAACCAAGCAAGAATATTTGGAATGAATGTATTAATATTACTTACATATGTATGTATTTGTTTTATAATATACTGAATACATAATATACATGGTCGGCTAAAGACTACTTCAAATGAATAAATGCTTAGATAGTACATATATAAATACCTCGTATATGCGGAATCCAATACCACGTCATGTATGTACAATAAAAATGGGATTTGGTTATTCTTTTTCCATTACTGCTTACTTTATTAATTCAAGTTAAGATTAGTAAAAATAATCTTATAGCAAGTAGGTTCAGTGAAAATACCATTCCGTAGTTTTGAAAAAAATCGGGTTTTTGCGCTTTTGTAAAATTTATTTACCATCGTATACGCGGTACTACGTTTGGCGTATACGAGGCATTTCGCGCTGAGCGACGATGTAGTTCAATAAGTCCAATTTTTAATTGTTTAATCTTAATCCTAAAATATATACAATGTGGTTGTTCACGCTGATTAGGTATTTCATTGATTCTTACAAAGAAGCTGGAAACTGTGTACTTACAGTGACGAGCAAAACTGTAACATGGTTTAACACTTTTTGTTTCAGCCACCGCTATATTTCCAAGTTCTAACGACTTTCATACTTTTGCTGTATATTCTTGTTGGTACATCCCTACTCCCTCTCTCATAATGATTTGAAGTCAATACAGCAACAATAAAAAAACCAGCAGACAAAAATGTAAATTAAGGCAGATGTTACAGTTTTGCACTCATATATTTTTAAGAGCTTTTTAACAATTTTCACGAAAAAAAAACTACTAACACAATGTTCAGTACTCTTTTGCCGGTTTCAGTTCCTGGATGTGATTTGGCATACCTTATTTGTATCTTTGTAAAAATTCTGGAGGTATATCCTTAGTTTGCTTTCACGGCTCATGTACTCGATTTTACGGACTTTGATACTTATTAAGCTGTCCTTTTAGTTGATTTCGCAAATTCTCGATGAGATTCATGTCCGCGGTTTGTGGAAGTCATTTCAAATTAGCAAATTTTTGCTTTTGTATCCAGTCTTTGCGAACATATGCAGTATGTTTTGGGTGATTTTTTAGCAGAAACTCTCATTTTTCGACTACATCTTGCAAATTTAGTTGAAATATGAACAGATACTGTTCCTTACGCATAATGCGTACTGAAATACAACCCCAAAAAATTAAGATCCTACCGATGTGATTCACAGTTTGCAGTACATGATGCGCTTAGGCTTAATTTGGGTCTTTGATCCAATACCATGCCCGGCCATCTAATTGAAAGCGATTAATTTAGTCTTGTCAGACCAAATAACCTTCAATTGAAACTTAAAAATATGTTTTTTTATTCCATTCTGAACGGTCTAACATATCCCAATAGGCAACGGTTCGGTTTTCGTGCGATGCAGCGAAATGCTGCCACACTCGCACATGTATTATGATCAAATTTGATTATTTCTTCTTTATGATGCCTTTGCGTTCAATTTGGCAAATTCTTCGCCTCGCTGTCTATTGATTTGCATTAAAGTTTAATACCTTAAGCGCTTCTGTAATAGTGGCTGCATCGCTACTTGCTTCTAAGTTCACAAGATATCGTACCGTAATATTTTTTAACAGACTTCCTTTGTCCTTGGGAACACTTTAGGCTATATTTTCTCTAAGTCTTAACATTTTTAAGCAGCAAATTCCAAAATTTTTTGCCACTTTTCGTGCGGTTCCGCCTTTCCGCAGTAAATCTATTATTTACATTTATGGTTCCTGATTAACTATGTTATTTACTGGTGATCACTTCTTCAATAAAGTACAATATAGAAAAAAGTCATCTGACTTCCAACTAAGTAAAAGATAACTGTCAAATGCAAAACTGAGATTGAGTGCAAAACTGTAACATCTGCCTTAATTTACATTTTTGTCTGCTGGTTTTTTATTGTTGTTGTATTGACTTCAAATCATTATGAGAGAGGGAGTAGGGATGTACCAACAAGAATATTCAACAAAAGGATGAAAGTCGTTAGAGCTTGGAAATATAGCGGTGGCTGAAACAAAAAGTGTTAAACCATGTTACAGTTTTGCTCGTCACTGTATGTGCTTATTTAAAAACGTCATTTAGAGTCTGGTAATGTTTACGAAGATATTAACATTCATACACATGCATCTAATAAGGGAAAACTGATTTTATAAAATATGTATTTACATATTACAGCCTTAAAAGAATTTACTTTTAAAAATGCAAATAAAAATTGATTTTCTTTAGTTTGTAAATCATTTCTATACGTATTATAAACAAGAATTTGTGATGACCTGAATTGTTAATCCAATAAACAAGTTGGTTATTTTTCCTTACATTTGGTAACTTTTTCGTCTAATCTTGGTTAGAAAGTTCTTTGAGCGGCGGCAACACTGCCTGTATGTAATGAAATGGGGCGCGCTGCAGTGGTGGCTGAGCGCGGCGCCCGCTCCAGTTACGTGCGGGCGCGCACTTGTGTTTGCGTTTGCACTTGTGCGCGTGTATTGTTATTGTGGCGGCTTTGGTGTTGTAATAAACAGCTGGCTAAGGGAGGTTGACAGCGGTGGTAGCCAGTGTTGCCACTCATAAAATTTTTTTTGTAGCAAATCTAACTGAAACGTAGCCAATTTTTTAATGCTTGTAATTATAATTAGAAAATACCGTTAGGTTTTACTTGTTTTTTTTTTCAAAAACTCAGCGCATTTCAAAATAATTAAAATTTCGCAATATATTGAGAAGTTTTGGATTTTTAGGTTCTTATTGTTTAATTTCAATTATCATATTATTTAAATATAGTTCACTCTATATCAAAAAAGATATAAGGATCAAAAATTTGAAAAAAAAAATAAAAAAATGCTCAAAAATTCCGCGGGACGTCCCCATATAAGCTGCAGTCTAAAGTAGTAACCTTACGACAAAGTCGCGGAAATTTCGTATACGGGGCGTTCCATACCAAATAGGCCACTTCATGTGTTTGATTTGTTTCAAATTTTTAGGGTTGACGGATAAACATAAATAATAAAGAAATATGAAATTTGAGCTTGATTAATACATTTTGAAAAACTTTACAGCACAAAAACCAATCGATTCAATAGTTTTCCAAATATCTCGAAAACGGGGCGAGGAAAAAATTTGAAAAAAAAAATCACACAAACACACATCAAAATTCTCTATGAAAAGAAATACTTAAAAAATTTATTTTCTTGACAAATTTTTCACATTCAAAATTTTTGATAACAAAAAATATTTTTTAAAATATGCCATCTCAAAAAAAAAATTAAAAAATCACAATGGTAGCTCTGAGTATTGCGCAATATTTAAGTATAGTATTATGTAGCTTTTCATTTTAAATATAGCACTTTTGCTACAATTGTAGCCAAACGGCAACGCTGGTGGTGGCTGCGATTTCAATTGTTCTCAATGATTCCCGTAATCTGTTTACCTTTCGCAGATCGTTGGTTTAATATATTTTTTTACATCTTTGTTTGTTGTTGGTGCAAATTTTGATCTTTTCTTATCATCGCCACAGTTGCACTGAAGGATTTCCTGAATTTACAAAAAAAAAAGATACAATAAAATTTCTCGGCGCAGTGACATCTGTGTTCACCAAAGTCAACTGTTAATAATCGTGTGTACCTGGTTATGTAGACGCTTCATTGCTTCTCTGCTCTATCCAGCGCTGCGCTCACTTGCCCCTTTGCCAAAAGCGATAAGATACGCGTATCTGCAGCAAGCGCGGAGCTGCGGGAGTACGCGGAGGCTCTTATCAGATGCGACGAAAATACCGCATCATTTACCTGTTGTTGGCTTGCACGTAAAAAGTGCTACAGATAAATAAATTCTAGCTCGCTATTTAAGTATGTAGTACATACATACATATGTTCGCTAGACCGTACCGAAAATTTTTGCCGAAGTCTTGCAAAGCAACTT